TTTTTGTAAAAGATCATTGTTATACTAAGAATATGTTGTTTACGAACACCATCAACAATAGTACGTAAAATTTCTGTAAGTTTATACATTAATGATGGACTTGTTCGACTCAATGGTCGAAGACCACAGATGGGAGTTTCTTAAATAAATAAATAAAAAAAAAATTAAATGAAAGCTAAGTAAGTAAAAATAAATACAAACCACCAATGACAATACGATTAAAGCAATTATTTGGAAGATATTTTAATTTTTGAAGCATTGTCGATATAAGTGTATATGTCATCATTGGAAGTAAAACAAGTTGTCTTGTTCCATCTGTTTGAACAATTGATTCTTTTCCATCGATTGTTAATGATTGATTATAAAGATTTTGCCACTAGGAACATAGTGAGAACAAATAATTCATCACATTGGTAAAAAAAAAAGGCGATTATATTTACTAATTTTAACTCCTCAGAAAGAAGTGGATAGTTTTCGGTCATGATTCAATGTTCGATTAGACGAAGAACAGTTAGAAATGATAAGTTTAAACTGACTATACACAACTATCAAAAAAGAGAATAGAATATGTTATATACGGTCGACTATTTTCTTATGTTTAGTCAGAAAATTGTTTTCGCTTAACTATGCATGGCGTTTCTTTGTAATTGATTTAGTTGTATTTTTATTTAGCAAGTAACATCAATCTTATGATGATACACGTGGTTCTATAAACTAATAAATGCATGTACAAAAGGGGTAGACAACTGAAAATGATAGCCTGGAAAATATATTACAAATGATCATAGAAATTAATTTCGACAATCAACATGTGATATGAATATTTTCTTCTGTATCATACTATTATTTTTTTTCTTTTATAAGTATAATTAGTGCTAATAAATTTGTGTTACTCTCTAAATATATAGCTAAGCATTCTTTGCACTAAAGAAAAATATGTATCATTGTAGAGTTCATCAAGTATGACTTTGGTTTATTATAATAATATGCTCATGGTGATTGATCAATCTTAATTTATTTATAAATCACATGCTTATTCATATAGCCATTGAATTGTTAATCAAACCATACTGAATATTTTAATCAGTGGTAGCTGCTTTAGTCATACTATGCTGTCGTTTTGAATTATTTCATAGAGAAAAGAAGCAGACACAGTTGTATCACCATTTCTAAATTTTCTCCTTTTACTTTAAAACATCAACAAAAGTTTGTATATTGGTCGTGTATCTTTACTTGCTTATTGAATCATGTTCAAATATTGATTTCGCATAATAAATATTTTATGAGAAACACATCAATAAATAATGATCTTTCTAAGTAATATTCTCAAACAATTTTTAGAAATTCTATTTAATTATCTTGTAGTGATTAAGTAATAAATTTGATCCTTGCACTAATTCATTAAACAATACATTTTTCATTATCCTAACGTTTTTACTTTTTCTTTTTATTTATACAAAAAAAAAACAAGAAAATTCATATTCGACTAGAATGGCATCATCTTCCATTTTCCTTGTCGTTTATGATATTTAATTAATTCGTATTTATACCAATCTGGTATCCATTTTTCATTAGGTGCTGCTAATGGATATTTTGGTACATTAGGATAACCATTAAATGGACATGTCATTGTTAAATAATGTTTAATAACTTCTTCATTAACATCTTTTCGATCACGATATTGTTCAAGATAACTATGAAATGGTGCTCTTTCAACACTGAATTGTTGTGGAGGTACATATCGTGGTTCAAAATCAAACTCATAACGAGGTTCTTTCATACCTAGATAATCACACATTAAAAAAGAAATTAAATATAGAAAATAAATTTACCTAGTATATTATGAAATATATTTTTAACACTTGTATCCCATGTAACTTGAAAGAAAGCTAAGCTAATCGGTCGTAAATGCGAACAGAGTTTATTGAAAAAATCAAATGTACGAAAAGTACGTTTTTTCAGACTAACACTAAAAACAAAAAAAAATAATAATAATATATAAACAGATGCTATCCATCCATCAATAACATTTAGTTTTGTATAAGTTAATAAAACACTATTCAAAATTATTTGTAAATCATCTATATCGACTAGAAAACTGCAAATGATTTTCAATATAAATTTACCTATTTTCAGGAAGTGGCCCATATAATTCAGAAAAATTGATTGGCCCATTTTTATGTTTATATAACAAAAATACACATCGATGCCATCCACTACCATTGGGAGGAAATGGAGGTAAATATGTACATAGAGTTTCACCTTTATCAATTTGATTATCAGGAATATTCCCTCTTAAAAAATAATATAGATAAATCAAATATAAATTAAATGCATTCATTAACATACACAAACCAATGAAGAACTTCTGCGTCATCTTCTTTTAAATGTCCGTCAAGATTTGTAAATATTAATGTATAATATTCATTTTCTTTATTTGTACTTTTCCATTCCACTTGAGGTTTTTCACTTGCCTAAAAATATTCATGAAAAAAAAAAAAAGTTTTGTTATTTTTCTTCAAATAACTAATTTACATCTTTTGCATAAAGACGATTTCCACTATAAACAGGTGTCACTTGATCATTACTATAAGGATAATTTATATGTAATGGTATACGAGGAATGAAATAACCATGTTTGAACAAATCATTGAAAAGACCATAATGATCAGCAATCATACGAAGATTTTCTGAAAAATATTTACTTGATAACCAATCATTATGAACTTCATCGATTGGAAGTCGAACTTAGAAAAAAAACAGATAGATAAATAATAAATTGAAAAATATTTGTTTATAATACATACGAGCTCCGTCGTAATGTAGTTTTTTTAACTCAGCTCGATTTCGTTGATTAGCATAATGGTCAAAACGTTGACGCGTTTCTGATTTAGAAATCGGATCTATTGGTGACAAAAAACCAATATTTACTTTATCAACACGTATTGGTTGAGGATCAAATTCTTAAATGAAAAAATACAAAGAAAATTTGAAAAATTTAACAATTTATTATTAAATTTTGTTTTACCATGACGTCGTTCTTCTAATGTTTTTAATTGCATATCTTTTGTATAAACTTCATCATGTGTCACTTCAAATTGTGTTTTATTTCTATATGGAAATCTTTTTCTCCATATAGCTGTCGTATATGGCATTGGATCAGGCATTGGTATAACACGATGATGACGCACACTTTTCAATTGAATGTTCCATGTTAATATTAATAGATTTTTTCGTATTATAATAGACATCTGAAATGCAACATGGGATGTTGTGATTGTAGTTTTTTTTTTATGAAGATGATAAATAATCAAATATCCGCCTATCTAATACTGAATGTTAGACTATAATCAATTGGAAATATAAGAACTTTTCTCACACTTCACAAACTAAATATGGATGGAGTGAAAAAATAGAACAAAAATAATTAGTTTTTAGATGGTTCATCTGGATGTGTATAACGATAATGCGCAATACGTAATAATTGTTGAAGACCAGTTAAACCAAGAGCAAAATTGACTAGACCAAGAAAATAATTTTTCGGTATTATAACCATACAATACTAAAAAAAAAAGAACAATAGAGAAAGAAAATTATTACAGAAAATCGAATAACAACATACTCGTGACCAGATTAATCCTGTAGCAGCAAGTGAAATTGATTGATTCAATGAAAGTTTATCAGCTGGACGCATTAAATCTCCAAGACCAGCAAGAACTAATGAGCTTTTCATAACAGCTAGAAAACAAATACAATCAATATATATAAATTAATCAACATAGAATGAATACTTACGCGACCAAAAATGTACATATTTTGGACCGGCTAGAATCAGATATTAAATAAATAGAATTATTTATAAAAATCAATTTTACCTGGATGCTCCCATTTAACAACCTTTTTCATTGATGGTGATAAAACTCGATCACCAATACCAATGAGCATTCGATATACATCTGATAGAATAAACATAGCTGATCAATCTGAAATTGAGTGCATACTGTGACATTGATAACAAAATAATAAATGAGAAAAAAGAAAATATTTTTATTAAGTATTACTAAAACTAGTGTGACTAAATATTATTATACAGTTTAGATAAGTGAGTATTGATCAGTGTTAATTGCGAGATTGTCATATTTTTTGTTTTGTCTGAGTTTTCTTTTTTAATTTTTATGTGGTGCATCCGGATGTGTATAGCGATAATGAGCAATACGAGCGACTTGTTGTCCACCAACAAATGCTAAGAAAATATTCACAGCAAAGAGCATATAATTTTTTGGTATAATGACCATTGAATATCGACTCCAAATAGCGCCAGTAGCAAATAAAGAGATCGATTGATTCAATGAAAGTTTATTAGCCGGACGAAGCATATCACCAAAACCAGCTACAACTAATGACCATTTCATTAGTGGAGCCCAAAAATGTATATATTTCATTCCAGCAGGATGATCCCTATTGATTAAAAAATTAAAATGAATCAAATATTATAATTAATAAATATTTATCTACCATTTGACAATCTAAATTCAATATTAAAAAACAATAAAAACTACATTTCTAATTAAAAAAATACTCTATTTCAAAATACCTTTTTCATACCCGGTGTTAAAACTCGCTCACCAACACCGATTGCAACACGGTAGAGATCCGAAAGTATAAACATTTTCCTTTATCCTATCTAAATAAGAAAAAAATGTCTTTATTATCATTCTTTCGTTTGTTTTGTTCAGCAAGATAGACAGAAATTTTTATAGACAATGCCATGTGATAGACACAATACAATTATAATTCTCAAGATTTTAAATACAATGAAAGAAAAAGAAAAGAATAACACCAAAATATACCGAGTAGAATCCATAAAAACTAACTGAATCTTCTTCAATTATATTCTGTTCTTATTACATCCAATTTACAATGTAACGAAGAAAAAGGACGGTTACGTATGTAAGTACAACATTAAACAGAAAAAAGCAACAAACAAACAAACAAACAAACAAATGACTATCGTAAAAAAACAAACATTAACATATAGATGTATCTCTTATTGGCTTTTCTTTTGAAATAAATTATTGCACTTGTAAAAGATAATGAAAAACAAAACATAAAGATGCACATTATCAAAACGATTCTTCCAAAAGAAAGAACACCGTATATTTCACTTATATATATTAATATAAAAAATATGAATAGAAGTGACAATCACTGTAGTTTTCATTCGACAGGAACACCGAAAAGAAAAAAAGAATAGTAATATTAACTAAAACCAGGTGGCGGTAAACCAACATCTATCAAAAGATGTGTAAATAATGGATAAGCTATTGCAGACGTGAGATTATATCGAGCTGATGATACACCATCCCATGTATACCGTTTAGCTGCTGAATAAAGTAGTTTTGCTCTAGAAAAAAAAGCCAATAATTATAAAACATGATAAGACATCACTTATACATACCGTTTATTCCATATAGATGGTACTCGTTTGGTATGTGGTAACATTTTATATCGAGCTATTGTCGCTGGTGGACGAATTACTTTTATGGATAATTCTTTTAGTCTAAAAGACAAAAACTAATTTTTTTCTTTGAAATATTATTTTCTTACCGATAATACAGATCATCATCTTCCGCTCCCCAACCCCAATAGAGATTACTATAACCATTAACTGTTAAAAAATGATCAGGTCGTATATTAAATACGCCTCCAATAAGTTCTTCATAAGTTAATCTACAAAAGAAAAAACAAAATGTTAATTAGATAAAAACTTTTAATTATTTCTTCCTTACTTATAACTCATTTCATCAACAGCAACAGACATATGTCTTGGAAAAACTGGACATGAATACATATTACGATCATCTTCTGGTATTAAATCAACATCATGAAAGACAAAACATTGAAAATCGTATTCACTAGATGCATATATAAAGGCAGCATTCATTAATACAGCTTTATTATATGTTCCATTCCCTGTTTGTTCAGAAACATAAATTTTATAATCAAGTTCTTGTCGTTGTAATATTGGATGTAAATAATACAGCAATGTTACTAAATGTTCATATCGATCTCGATACGGAATAATAATTGCTACCTATTTAAACAAAAGAAATCATCATTTTTCGCAAAAAATAATTATTGATAATTTATTATTATTTTTTATTTAGTATTTTATAAGGATTAAATCTTTAAAAAAAAAATTAAATGAAAGCAGCGATCATTTTGACAAAGGAACTTACTAAATTTTTCTCTCTATCACAGATGTCCTATCAGAAAATGACTTTTTTTCAAAACAAATAATCTTTTGACATGATGTAAACCGTCTCATAATTTACCCTATGACGAGCAATACAATGAGATGGCGACCATTGACCACCGGATCTAACATTGGTATAATTAGTTTCTATTTCATATAGTGATACATTGGGAAAAGTTGAATTTTCATCAAGATACCGACCACCTAGAATAACAATGAAATATTTATTTTTTCTTTTTGTCAAACTTACGAAGATAACGAGGTTCTTCTTGACAATAATTTCTTTTTCGTTTATTCTCATTATTATTTGTATAATTATTTTTTGTTTCACGATATTTCCATTGATATTCATCTACATCAATTAATGCTGCTAAACGATTTTGTACACGTTTGATATTATTCATTAAATGATCACTATTATTTTCATGTAATAATAATTCATCAGATTTATTTAATAATGGTTTTAATAATTGTTTTATAGTTAGATTTGATTGTATTTGATGAAAATTTTTATTTATTTGATTATTTATAATTAAATTTGAGTCATTATTAAATGAATCAAATAATAATTCAAATCGATAAAGATATGTTTGAATTTGAAATAGAAGACGCCATTTATCTATAGGTAAAACATTATCACGTAAAAGTGCTTCCATACTTTCATCCATTTGTTTAAGTTCATCTTGAATTTTTTGCATTGCTGAAAAATTAGCTCCATAACGTGATGTATGAACAACCAGAATTTGTGATAATGAAATAACAAGAAGAAATAGAAAAAATAGTAAAATAAGTATTGATGAAATGTCACGATTAAGTAAATTAGATGATACTGGTTCATGATTATAGCGATATAATCGATGATTAGAACGTGATGATTCTTGCTCTTTATTATGAGATGATGATGATAATGTTAAATATGAATGGTGCCTACCGTAAGTGTATAACATTCGTTAAATATTTGGAATATATTGTCTTTTTTTTTTTCTTTTATACTAGAATGATTCTCATTGTTCGATATTATTGATATAAATTCAATTTAAAGTGACTATGAAATAACACTAGTATTAACAATCTAAAAATAGAATAGAATAAATGATATATTTTGTTTCAATTTCAATTTTTTTTTAATCTAACATAAATATAGACAAAATATTATTAAATAACCAACATCAATTATCTTATGATACGACCCCACTCGCCTTGTTTTGTTCTTTCTATTCCAACGATATTTAAATTTTCTTTATCCATGATATATTCTCTTCTATTCTTTACTAATTATTTGAACACTTGATTTTTTTTTATAATTACTTTTGTGATGCACTATAAATAACATACTAAACAATGATGAATTTCAAATAACGGCACATCACAAACACAAAAAAAAAGAAGGGTTTCAGATGAGTATTCATAATACTGTTACAGTTTTATTGATAGTGATGTTCTTTTTCACATCTAATTTTCTTCTTCGATCTTTTTTCTTCTTCTTGTTCTTCTTTTTTCTTATCTTTGACAGCCTATTCTTTTCTCTAAGGGAACGAATGTTTCAGCTCATTCCTTTTGTAATAACTAAACAAGTGTGGAAGGAGGAAGGGAAAAAACAGACAGTTTTATATGATAAAACAAAGAAAAAGAATAATTCTTTTATAATGACACAGTTTTTGAGTACAGTTGTACTTAGATAACAAGCGTCTCGTTTACAAAACACAAGATATCAATATGATGACAATAGCATATTAATAGAAACTAGATTTATAAAATTATCGATTTGAGACAAACGAAAAAAGAACAAAGAAAGTCAAAGAAATTTATTTTGCGCATATGATTAATCAATAATGCCCATATAATAAAAAACAGATTCAGTTTAGATTAAAAAAAAGAAATTAATTCTATTGCCAAACTATTTCATTATTTGTAACAAAAGAAAAATTAATTAAATAAAGAATAACAAACAACAAAAAAAGTTACCCTATGATGAATATATAGCGAAGAGAAAATGGCCAAAAGAAAAAAAGAAGAAAAAAAGTAACAATAACATAAATTCATAATAATAATAATAATAATAATAATCATAATGGTGAGATGAAAGAAAGTCTCACTTGAATATTTCTCTATTTTTGTTTTTTTTGTGTGACATAACTTGGTGTTGGTCCCATTGTACTTCCGTAAGTAGTGCTTGAAATACGATTGACGTAATAAAGAGCGATTAATGAAAAGATCAAGCTAGAATAAATATGATGATTATTATTTTGAATATTAAAAATAAATGATATTAATTAATAATGAGAAATAAAAGATTTTTTTTTACTCAGGAATTTATGCATTACAATGACATTATGCATAGTATATAGTGTTATTTTCAAAACCATTAATCAATATTTTAACCTTCATAGTCTTCAGAGAATTGAATGATAAGATTTTTCTTTTCTTAATCTGATTCTTACATGTACTCTTACAGTAGGGCAACATCACAAAACAAATTGATTGTCTAATGCTAATCCTTCTCTTTTTTTTTTGTTTTTATCTTAAATACTTATTTAAGATTTGAATTATTTTCATAAATTATTAATTAAAGAAGAAAATAAATATATATGAAACTTTTTAAAAAAATACCGATAACGTGTGTTTCTATGAAATGTCAAAGGACTATCGACTGTGGAATAGTTTTGCAATTTTAATAAAATTTCTTTCTGATTTTCACGCCATCCAACAAAACAAGTAAGATACTTAAAACATTTTTGACGAGACTATATTTTATGATTAGTTGTTATTCGGCTTCATTTTGCTAAGATTTTATTCTATTCTGTTGATCTTCTATACCAGAAAACAATGTATTCTAGTATATAACATATAGAAGCTTGAATTCTGTGTCTACGAGTGACATACGATTTGTCCTCAGATAATGTGTTTATTTTTTGACAATTTTTAGTCCCTATTTATTCCAAATGATCAAGCGTAGAAATTCGAAATTTAGTGCATTGATCCATACTCAAAGGTCATCAAGACCTTTGAAGTTTCATCTCAATTGACTTCAAAATTTACAGTTAACAAGAAAAGTATATGTTAGTAATGCATTCACACAAAAAATCCGTTTTTCGTCGATATAAGAAGTAATAAATATTTTGAGGTATGTTCAGATTTCCGAAAAATAAAATTACAGAAATTTCCGAAGCTTCCATCAACTTGATAACTACATAGAAAAGCAAATGAAAATATTTTGGAAATATTGGAAAGTTTAGAATTTTCTGTAATTTCGGAAATTTTGCTATGTACAGAATTTTGAAAATTTCGGAAATTATATAATTTTGGGAAGTACCAAACAATTTAGAACACAAGTGCTTGAAATTTCCTTTTCCGGAAGTCTGAACATTGCTATAAAATCGTCGCAATTTTCTGAAATGCATGTACAAAAAGCTTGTCGACAAAGACAAATAGTCAAGAAAAATATTTTATATCTTCGGAACAACAGTTAGATATGGACAAGAAAATCTCAACGAAAGTGTCACAATCACAGTAAACGTTAAGATCGGTCCAAAAAATTTAATTTACTCGGTTAGGATTTGGAAATTATGGGTTGAACGGTCTCTATCAAAGAAAACTGTTGCAGAACAATCTAAGTTAAATAAATAGTTTATTATCATCCTTGAAGGTGAATAACTCTAATGAATAAATTGAGAAACTTTTACTATCGAAACAATTAATCTTATCAAATATAACATTTAAAAGTTAAAAAATAGTGATGAGTAAGCTATGTGTGTGCCTTACTTGTTTTTTTTTTTCGTCAAAATAAGCACATAAATGGAAATCGAGACTACTGTTTCGATGTCCTATTAAAGTTTAGGCAGTGTCTTCGTTTATATTAGAATGCTTTTGTAGTTTTGGCGTAAAATAAATTAAAAGCTCTATTTAGGAATTTACGAACTTTATATTTGATAAAGTGTCTAGATACTCTTAACTTTCTTCTACCAGACAAGATGGAGATAAAAGAATACATCAGAAAAAAAAATCAAACTTCATAGAATTAGAATTCTATTGTTTTGTAACGATTTTGTTCGATAATACTAAAAGAACAATAAGTCATGCGCACATAGTTTTTTTTTCTTCTGTAACTTTTCTCTCAATTATGAAAAAAATAAACTATCTGTTCTGATAGAATAAAGTATGTTTTGACAAGACAACATGATTAGTTCTTGAAAATAATTAACTTCTACTTTAATTATCCTAATTAAGTTTGGTCGTTTTGAGCATAAATTACTCATAAAATTTTCATATAAAGAAAAGATATAAACTTACCAAGTTGTAACACAAACTCGATGAACAAATGCACAACATATCATAGAAATAAATAAACATGTCACAACTAAAATAGATTCTTTTATTAGAAAATAATTTCAATAAAAAATAAAAACAATATTTACCTTCAGGAAAAACTCGTGCTTGAAAATTTGGTCCAAATAAATTCATTTCAAAATTACTCACAGCCTTAAATAAAAGTTTCATAAAAAAAAATAGTCTTGAAATTTTTTTTTTGAAAATACCGTTAAGAGTGATACAAAAACTAATGAACCCATAAATCCACCAGCAATTGTCAATGGTTGACTTGATGAAAGTTGTGTACGAAATAATTGCATTGATGCAAATAATACAAGAGCAATAAGAAGTGAGAAGAGAAATGATGATGCATTTGAAGCAGCTAAATTTTTTAATAATTATTTTGTTCATTTTTTGGTTTAATTTGTTTTAATACTTACACATATTTTTTAATAAACTCACGTTTATCTACTTTTGCAGAAAAGAAAAAAAAAAAAAAAGAACTAATTGATCTAGAAATACAGGAAAAAAGAATTCATTTTTCTGATAAACAAAGTTTATTACAAATACAGAAACACGAAAAAAAAAGAAAATGTTTTGTTTTTTTTATTTAATCTCATATTCATTCGTAAGTTCAAGAGCATGATCCAATGCATGAAGATGAACAAAAATAACACGAATTTGTCGAATATTTTCTCTAAACAAGAGAAAAAAAATATACTTTTGTTTATTTTTATTTATCTTACTTATATATTTTTTTATCTTTATCATTTGCACTAAAAATTTGTGTTGAATATTCTTGTGCAAGTTGTTTTAAAAATAAACAAAAATTTTCTAATGCTGGTAATGTTGTATCTGTTAATTGATTTTGAAGAATTGTTTTATTATTATCAAACCATTGTTTTATTGGAAAACATTTTGCTAATAAAAGACAACGTGTTATCATTTCATTTGATATTAAATCCATATTTTTTAATGATACTAATATATAACGATTTAAAAGACCATCAATTGATAAATCGAGTATAGTTTTTAATGATAAAATTTGTGACCATAATGTTATATTACCTAACAATTTAACACATGTCCAATATTGACGAAAGAAAAATTCTGTTGCCATTATTGCTGAATTATTTGATGATGTTCTTGATGAACCAAGAGCAATAATTTCTTTTGGATATAATGGAATATAAATATCATCATCTAATGAACGTTGTAAACGATCGACAATAGCTTTAAGTAAGTTCTAAAAAATACGAAAATATTTGAAATTATATTTGTTTTTTTTTTCGTGTATTATTACTTGAACATTTTTACTATCATCAGTCATTGTTGGATATGTTTGAAATATATTTTCAATTGTTTTAACAAGATTTGTTGTTTGTTTTAATGATAATGGATCGTATATATGTGCAATAATGTCTAAATCAATCAAGATGAATATATTTAGTATATATATAGATATTTGTTACAGTGGAAATTAAAATTTCAATCTTCCCTATTGAATATAAACTATGATATGTGAATGTAAATTTTCGGTTCATCTAGACGCATATCCTATAGTATTTATTTGTCATAGATAAGAGTGAAATTTTAATTTCTGTTAAATAGTAAGGAAAAGATTTGTCAACATTTTCTATTCTCTATATTTTTATTATGATATTTAGAATTGGAATAGTAATTTTTAAAACATGACGTATTGCGATAATAACATAGATCAAGTTTATTATGAAAAAAATTTTCAGTTTTTCTTTTTAAAGAATAATACTTGATTATAGCATAGATGACAGAATGTTTTGATTCTAGGATAGACTCATCATATTCTATATGGTCTCTATCTGGAAATTAAAAATGGAAGAAGATGAGTTTTTAAATACCACATAGTGTTTATTTCATTAAACTCATATTTTGCTACGTGTAGCAATGGTGAAGATTAAGAAGAATATTAATAACGTCTATAAATAAAACGTGCATTTTGAATGAATACATGCAAACACTGATGCTCATCAAAAAAAACGACCTTTGAAATAAGAAATTCCGATCTGCTTTATCAGATCGATAAAGCAAAAATGTTTCACAAAAGAAAAGATGTTGCATCGTGAACTTTTTCATTGTTGAAAGTGTTTAATAGGCATGTAATATAAATCGCCGAAGGCGAAGAAAATATTGGATGAATTCAGATTTTTTCATACAGTTCTTCTTTACATATAATGAAGAATCTTCATTTCAATTCACTGACAATATATGATGCAATATTTATTTATACAAAACTCGTTTTCTTCAAAACATTTTTTAAGTCATCTTGATTGAAAATATACTATTATCAGGCGTCAAAAAAATATAATGCGCTGCTAAAATATATCAATTTGATGAAAATAGAAAAGTATTCGAACTCACCCTAGCCTACGGATAATAATAGAAAATATAACTAAAGAACAGTTGTTCTGCAAAATAATAACACATAGAATTTGCTATCTCATAATTGATAGAAAAGTGATATATATATTGTTTTTTACTCATGAACATAATAATCTATTGACTCTTTATTACTTTTGTGAGATATGAAGAAATTAGGTCTATGATTTCTTCTTGAAGCGAAAATGAATATTAGAACTCCATTGTATCCAAATTCAATTGTCAATCAAATAGAAAGATATTTTTTTGTTTTTTAAAAGAATCAAAAATACTAATGACTAATTACACTTTTATTATGAGCAAAACTCATATAATCTTATGAGTCCTGAACAAATGATCAATAAAAGCAATATATAATGAATTTAAAGAATACATCTAATCATGAAGTGTTACAAGTTCTATTAGGTCAACTTGCTCTATAAGTACTTGTTCCATTGAAAGACGTTTACGAATATGAAATCGAATAGTAATCTTTCTTTTTCCATCCCAAAACTCTATATAAAATCTACATCAATTATTTAACGATGTTGTCTTTCTATACAATAAATCTAATATGGAAAATTCATGCTACAAAAAAAAAAATCTCTTAGCCTAAGTGGAAAATTTCTTCACACCGGAAATAAAAATATTTGTAATTTATTATTTCTAACTTCATTTTTCTATAGTGTTAAAAAGAAAAGTGTTAAACACATGTTTGTTTTTTTCTTGATATAATGAACAAGAAAAAAAAGTTGTTTAATTTTTTCTTACTTGTTAATTTTGGTATGATAACTTTTTCAATAATTAATGGTATAAATTGAAAATCTTCATCTTCATTACGTCCATCTTTTACACCATAAAATAATAAATTTTGATACCAATTATAATCTTCAATGGCTCGACAAGATGTCTATGAAAATAAAAATTTCTTTCTTTTTCTATTTCGTAAAAAAAAAAAATTACTTCAAATGGTTTCCAATCAATAATTTCTCGTCGTATTAATGGTGAAAATACTTTTGGTAAACATATTTCAATAAATGCATCTGTATAGGTTTCATTTTGTTGATATTTCCACTGTTCAAATATTGTTTTAATATTTTTATATTGAGAAAATTCATCTGATACATCGTCTAGTAAATGTTCAGCTTCAGTAATAATTTCTTCTACAATAATTAAAGTCAGAAAAAAAGAAACACTTTTCTAATTATTTTTATTTTACGTTTTTGTTTTAAAAATAAATTAATATCTGATTGATTTTCTTCATCATCTGTTGACATTCCATCAAAATGTTGTGTAGATGTTTGTTCACGATCTTTTCTTCTTCGTAAACTAAAAGAAAAACAACAAAATACTTAATCGATTGTAAAAAAAACAAACAAAAAAGACGAAAGTTCTACTATACCGTCGTGCTTCACGTTCAGTTGCTCGACGTTGTCGTTTTTGATCAAGAATTGTTCGAAAATCATTTGTTGTCAATGTACCATTAATAAATGCTGTTGCTTTCTCTACAAATGAAAAAAATTTTACTATTAACTTTTTTTGTTTTAAATTAACTAAAATTACGTATTGAATATTCATGACATTGATCTTTAAAATCTTCTTGTCGACGTGTTACAATCATATCAGCTCTTTGTTTATATAATTGTAACCAACGTTCTTCAAGATTTATAATAGTTACCATCTATAATACAAAAACAAAAAAACGAATGATGACATTTTAAAATAGATGTTTTTTTTTGAAATACTTTTTCATTATAACATTCAAGAAATGAATAAACATAAGCACGACATTGTTGATAAAATTGATAAGATTTTTCCATTTGTGGATAATCAATTGTATTTTGTTGTAATGATAGTTGACTAACTTCATATGCTTGATTTACTTTTTCATAGTCAATTTTATGTTTTTCATTTAATTCTTTTATCGATTTTAAACTAAAATATTAAAAAACAAAAAAGGGGAAAAATGATATTTCTATTAATTATAAAAAAGCTAAAGGAGACATACGAATCAAGTAAACGATCTCGAATATGATCAAATGTAACAGGTGGTAATTCAAGTGGAGGTAATTCTCGTATTACTTCAACTTCCATTGGTTGTGGTTCAACCAGCGATGATGAAGAATTTTCTGTTTGTGATTGAGAAAGCTAAAATAAAAAATAGAAATATTTTTATTAGTTTAAATAATAAAATTCGATTCCTTTTAAATTATTCTATAACAAACTTGAATTGTTATGTCACTATTTGAAATAAATTAGAGATTATGATTATTTCCTCTAGATTTTCTTCTTCTATGTAATGATTGACGAACGATTTTTGTTCGTGAAATGTAAAACAAGAATAACACTGTTTTCTTTTCAGAAATACTTCTATTTTGTGAAACATTATCTGAAAAAAGGTGCTGAATTATAGGGAGAAAATTTGAATTCCATTTCTTCTTCACAGATTGTATATCAATAACGTCTCATTGTCATATGTAAACTACAGAGTATTCCAAAAATTTCTTAAGATAAAAAATGTAATTAATTCTTTAACAGTTCAAGCAATTTATATGGATTTGAGTCGAAATAGTTTTATTAATCACTGAATTTGAGCTATCTAAGATTGTAAAATGAATCATATTAGTCGAATTCGATACAGAAATGATCAATGAAGATGATATTAAAGAGATCTATGAAACTGATACTTGAACAGATGAGTTACATTCTAAACGTCCTATTGTAATGATACAAGAAAAAAGTAAATGCAATTAATATTACTAGAGAAAGTGTATCAACAGGAAGTATTTCGCTTGTTTGATATGTTTTCTTTCATTAGCATTTAAAATTATAAAAGAACTCATTAAATGGTTTAGTAAAGTGAGTTATTCTCACCTTTCGACAAACAAAGTTCATCAGTCTCTACTAGATAACATTTCTCATAAAATTATCGCACATTGGACAATGTTCACAAGATGTCTGTTAAAGATTAGGCTAAACTAACAAGTGGAATTGTTGGAAAAAAAATGCAATGATTTCAATAGAAATTCTATCTAGTATTTCATTTTTCAAAAATGTGAAAACAGTAAAGTTACGAGTTTCATTTCAATTTGAGCATTTTGATTAGCAAACGCGAATAAAGTTATGCGAAACAATTTTAAAGAAAGTTAAAAAAAACTCACATAAGTGTTTAGAATTGTTCAAGAGTTATTCACGTTCTTTCTCCAGACGGACTTCTCAAATACTCTGTACTTCCTTATGTCATTTCTGGAGGTTTAAATCAAAGGATAATAAAGAAATGCGTATGACTAACAACATCTACGAAATCGTCTTTCGTATTTGAGCCCTACAGGAATTGTGCTAACAGGTTTTTTTTTTGTCTAAATTTTAGGTTTCATGTTAAAGAAAACATAATTTTTAATAATGCTAAATAAATAGGTAAAAGAAGAAAGAGCGTAAGAGAAAATCTTACGACGAATAACACCGACTTGAGATTTGGAAGAAGAGGAAGCCAATGTTTTGATTGCTGACATTGTAGAAATTTTCGAACTAACACCTTTGCGAATTTGTTCACGTTCAAAACGACGAAATTCTTCTTCATCTTCTTCATTATCACTTCCTATAAACAGAAAAAACAAAGATTTGTTGTTGTTGTTTTTATCAGTTAACAATAAGAAAATATTTTTAATAATGACAAACCTTGTTCTAATTCTAAAAATCGATCTCGATTTTTTTGACGTTCACTTTCAGCTCTTGTTTTATTTCTATCCATACTAACAATATGTGGATCTTCATTACCACTATCATCACTAGCATCATTTTCATCATCACTAAATTAAAATTATTTATTTGATTTTTAATGAAAATAAAAAAATAAAACAATTTTCATACCGTACTAAACGTGATTTTCGATCATTTCCATTTTCTGCAGCCGTATTTAATGATATATAATCACCGGGTACACCCATTTCTCGAGCCATTTGACGTCGTTTACGTGCTGCATGTATCATAGTCGAATCAGGAATAACGCCACCTAAGAATATAATATAATTATATGAAATCAATAAACAAACTAATATAATTTACTTCTTAACATAACTTTAACTGAACGTTCTGTATCATCTAATGTACTATCATCTTCATTATCATTTCCTTCTAAAATTTCTTGAATATCATCTAAATCAGGAATATCTCCTTCTGGTCCGTTGAGAACTTTCATTTCTTTTCGAAGACGCTAGAAAACAAAATAATATTAGTAATACAACAATATATATATATACAAATAAAGATATGAAGTGTCGTAAAAATTCTTTCTTAAAAGTTATTTTTTAGTATATCTGTATTATTCGATTCAATTTTATCAACTAATTGTTTTTTAATAGTAGACTCGTAGACTGAAGCAAACTTCAAAAGTATCTTTCAAAAACTATCATTTTTAAATGAAATACAAAATTCAATCCTTTTCTTATTTATACAAAAAGGACATTATACAACGATTCATTTTTAATGACTCGAATTTTTCGAATCAGTATATCACGATCATATTTGCTGACCAATCGTTGAATTATGAGAAAAATGATTCAATAATCAGCTTGCTTGATATTACACCTCACATAATACGTTTTAGTGAATGTATTGCTACTTTGAAGCGACTCAAAGATTAATTTAAGTCTACAGAGGACAACAGTGTTTATTACAGAAGTAGAAGGTAAGAGTTTCAAATAACATTCAAAAGGAAAAGGCATAAAATTGTTATATTTCAATTTGAGGTGATAGCTTTAACGAGTACTATTGAAATTTACTTGTATAAAGAAAAACTTATTTTATTCACTTATCATTTATAAATAAAATTTAAATCAAATAGTAAAGATATACGAAAAATCTTTTTACGATATTCTATACACACGAAAAAGTAAATTACCTGTAGATCAGCATTTGAACTTGTAAATGAATTTGTTGAAGATTTATTTCCAATAATCTGAAGAGGTTTGACTAGAAAAATATAAGATAAAAAAACAAAAAAAATAAAGATAAAATGATTTCTTTTTATACATTTTATTTGAATTTCTCCATTATTATTATTTTCTTCTTTAGGTGTTATTGTTTCTTCAATAATCGATGTTGTTGTTGTTGTTTGTTGTATAACTACATTTGGTTTTGAATCAATCGATGAACTATGCAATTGTTGCTGTTGTTTTTTAACTTCTTTTGCCATTTTACGACTTTCACGTGTTTTATTAACTTTAAATTCTTCTGTATCACCTATTTTTTTTTTTAAATAAAAGAATAATGAATTATATATACAGTAAAAACTATCTATAGTGAATATTTTTCGAACTTTTCAAAAGTATTCACTATAAGAGAATATTAAGTATTTTCTAAAAGTAGGTTTTTTTTTTTAATACAAAGAACAAACGCGTATTCTAATTATCTAGAGAGCATTAGTGAATAAAAAAACTCATTGTTACTTGTCTTTTCATGTATTTTTTGTTCTTGGAATATTAACAATTGTTCAAATAAAGTAAAACTTCTCTATTATGAGTACTATTAGAATTTTTCGAAAGTATTCACTATAGAACTACATGGCGATGTCCATTATAGAGAGCTGTTTATTATGCGAATTTTTATGGTATATCAAACAAAAAAAAAAACAGAATTTTCAATTTCCAAATATTTACCTTCATCATCACCAAAACTTAATAATGATTTTGGTACTTCTGTTTTCTTAATCACAGTTTTTGTTGTCACTGTCTGTTGTTGTATAACAGTCGATGGAGCATTTGAAACATTTGATTGATCATCTTCCGTGTTATCAATATCTGTTCGACCACGTAAATTGCGTTGCTTTGGCTTTCGAAACATCTGAAAAATAATCAAAAGATTTATTCAACCGAGAGAATATATTAAAAAAGAGTGTCAATCTATAGAAATAAGTAAATAGATGGAAAAGACAAATGAGACAGCCATAGTTAATCAAAGGGTAAAATCGGGAAAGCATTGTCATCACTAATAATATTATTTTTTTATATAAAAAATGATTTTTTTTCAAATTCTTATGTGATATTTGATGAGCAATAAAAAAAATGAAATTGTCGAAAAATATCTTTAAATTTCATAATTTTCTTCAATATGAATGGTTAATTGATTAACGAATAAAAATATTCGAATGAATCATCGTTGATCGTTTTTCATCCATCTTATAGTGGGAAAACTTTTGATAAAAATTTTTTTTTCGTATAGAATTTTTATCGATTTTCAAATATGTCAGATCATCGTCGATCAAGTTCTCGAAAATGTGTAACAAAACGTCAATTACCTTCAGATTCTTTGTTATCGATTACAACTCAAGTACAAAATGATATTAAAACGATAAAAAAATCTCGTAAAACAAATAATAAAGATACAACTGTAAGTTTCAAAAATAATACAAAATTAAAGAAAAAAAAAAAACTTTGAAGAATCTATTAAATATTTTAAGGTATCAACTGCACATCATGAATCTCCAAATGTTTATAATTCTTTTACGACAAAACCAACTAATAAACGAACTCGAGCAGATTCTGTAGCATCAAATACATTAAATCACAAGAAAAAAAAAGAAATTCTTTATGATGATGATGATGATGAAATTGAAGAAATTCCATCAGAAAAAAAATCTATCGAAAAAACAGGTTAATACATATTGAATGATAGAATTTTAGAAACTTTAATTACTTTCTATAGAAATAGATCGATGTGCTATTTGTTTGGATGATTGTACAGAACCCAAACAACTTGATAAATGTAGTCATATATTTTGTAGAACTTGTATTGATCGTTACTTTGAAACAGTTAAACCTCAATGTCCATGTTGCTTTACTATTTATGGAGAAATTCGAGGTATAGTTCGATATTACATATCTAGTAGATTTTTTGTTGTTGTTTTTTGTTGTATTATAGGAAATCAACCAGCTAGTGGTACAATGAGTATTGAAACATCTAAACATCGTTTACCTGGTTTTGAACATGATTCACGTGGTACTATTAGAATAAGTTATCATTTTCCTCATGGAATTCAAAATGTAAGATTCGATAAATAAAATGAATAGTTGATTTTAGAAATGTAGCAATTTCGATTCTCGAAATTAGTTAGGCATGAGAAATTGCCATCTAATGGAAAGTGCCTATATTTGATTCTTTTGCCAAGGAAAAACTACTATTGGAAAGGTAGAGACTTTTTTTTTTTTTATAAAACTTAATCAAAAGTCTGTGGAGTAGAGACAACTGGACTGAGAAACGAAGTGCATAAATTCGAAAAATCAATTGTAGATACGAGTTCTTCGATCGCAAAAGCCTTTGTTTAACCTTTATAGAGAATCGCTGTTTTACCAAGATAGACTTTTCTTGACGAAATAATTAAATCGAAAAACTTTCCTTTAATGAGTTACTAGTAACGGTAACAATCCTCTCCTAGAATTGGTTTTGAAAAAATTGGGATGAAATTATTAAGTTATGTAAATATATACAAAATAAGTAATTCTACAACAATTAATTTCTAGTTCAGAATTTAAAATCAGTACATTCTTAATTCATTTTATTATTATTTTTTTCTTTATGTTTAAGGAAAGTCATCCTAATCCTGGTATGCCATATCATGGAACAACTCGTCAAGCTTTTTTACCAGACAATCATGATGGTCGTCATGTACTTGGATTATTACAGAAAGCTTTTGAATTGCGACAAATTTTTACTATCGGTCAATCTCGAACAACAGGTTATGATAATGTTATTACATGGAATGATATTCATCATAAAACAAATATTTATGGTGGAATAGAAAAGTAAGTTTTTTTTATCTATATTCATATATAAATAATTTGAAATCTATTGATTGAATCAAATCAAAAGATCTAATCGATTTTAACAATTGTTTGTTAAACTAAGAGTTTTTTGAATGTTTCTGTTTTTAGTTTCGGCTATCCAGATAAAACTTATCTTAATCGGTAAATAAAATTAATTAAAATCTTATTTAATAAATGTCTTCTTTGTTTTTTGATCATCTAGAGTCAAACAAGAACTAGCAGCTAAGGGAATTAAATAATGATTTGACTTCAATGTCTTTTATAATATCTTTAAACTAATAAAAACTATCGTCTGATATGATGCTGTCAAAACACACAAACAAGATTTATTCCTCTTGGTTATTATTTAATAGTTGTTGTATAGCGAGCTTATTCTTCTATTTTTTTATACGATGATTGATTAAAAAGTGTGTATTGATCAGCTTTCTTTTTTTTTTTTTTGTTCTGTTTGTTTGGATTTGTTGATATACTTCTATATAATCTTCTTTTCTTCTGAAATAATGTTATATATCGATCAGTTAAAAACTGAAGGAAGAAAACAAGAAAAATACATGAAAATTCTTTATCTTGAACAATTTTTTCCAAGCATATTTCATTTAGTATATCAATGGACACGGACTACAACATGATAACAAGGAAAAAGAAATATTATGACGAGAGAGTAAAGAAGAAACCATCAAAAGAGAAAGAAAAATGAAATGGAAGAAAAAAGCATCATATGTTGCCTTGTTTCATTCTACAAAATATTGAAGAAAGAATAGTTCCGTTCAACTAACTGGAAGAGATCAGAAGAAACACGTTATTATTTTTCTCTTAGTTGACATGATTTTTCGATGAATTGGCACCAGGCTATTAAAGATGACTCGTGTCTATCAATCATCTATTAAACTCGGGCTAATCAAAAAAAAAAGCATACGTCTAATATTTCGCTTTTATTTTGCATCATTATTTTGGACTTTGTTTTTCTTATTCATAAAAAATGTGTCAATAAAAAAAAAATCATTATAAAATAATGACTCGCCTAAATCCGAACGAAATAATCTGTGTATGTGTTTTCGTAAATAGATTGTAACATATAATTCAAAATTACTTTCATTTAATATTACTGTGATTTTATGTGCTGTTTTAAAGAAACATCTATGCGCTATCTTTAAGTATTCTATAAATTCATGTTTTAGAAACCTTTACTGAAACGTAGATCATAAGAAAAAAAGAAGAAAAAGTTTTCTGTAAAGAAACATAGTCTTAGTATGTTATAAATAATCACTGTACGTCTTTTGAATCATCTCACTTTGATGTATGAACTTTTTGGAATCTTCTCGATAAATTTTTTGACTTTTAACGAGAAGAAAAGTTTATCGAACCATTTTAATCCTAACTATTTGAATGATCTTAAAATTTCTAGTTGGTTTCCATCTGTATTATATATGTGTACACAAGATTGTTTTACTCTTGAATGAAACAATTATACAATCAATTTTTTTGATTAATTAAGTGTTTTCAATTTCAGTCATAGTGAAAAAGAGTTCGACATATTTCTGTTTTCTTTTTATTGATGCATTTCATTGATTTTTGGCAAACTTCTCTCTATCGACAAAGCAATCAGAGTACATGAATCGTCAGCACAAATTAGTGTTGAACAGGTACTAGTGCATCGTACAAGGTCTGAATGGTAAACGATGAAGATTTATAGGATTATGAGCTTCTTTTCGAAAGGCCTACATCGATGGTAATTTGTTTTTTTTTGCTTTATGGCTTCCAAAATTTCTGAAGGCTTTCTGATTACCCAACAAGTTTACTATGCGTTCTATCGATGGCAAGGCCATTTCCATACAGTAGAGGTTCTCAATTAAACGTTTGTTCCAAATAAGATGGTATACTTTGTGATAATCAATATAACTGCTAAGTATGAAAATATCGATGATCAAATAATTGTTCATCTCGTGATATATAAATAGAATTCTAGTTTGAGATGAACATTTTTTCCTGTTATTTGATTGCTCTACTAGAAGCATATAGTTTGTTTTAGCACAATATTTCAGTTGATTTAGAAGAATTTTCTCATCTAGTTTTTCAAGTAGCTTGTTAAAAGCGACGGGATCTGTTTCATATTTGATATGAATTATACTTTTAAGATTCAATTTTATGAAAAAATTCTTTAACTTGTTGATGATAATAAATAATAAATAATTAATTATTTTTGTTAATGAATTTCAATCAATTGATTTATCAAATAAATATTTTTTTAAAAATGTGTTGGATTTATTAATAAACCTATTGCATAAAATTTAATAGCTTCTATATAAATATCAATTGTCTATAAAACTGTTCATTGAGTTTTTTTTGTTTCTTATTGCAATGATTTCGAAAGTCACGAAAAAATTCCAAACATTTCTTATTGCTAATGATTGTGTAAATGTACGTGTGCACCTTGATTTATAACATAACAGCGGATGAAGATTAATAATGATCATCTTTTCTTTAACTATTACACAACGATAACAAACGAAATTCTTTTCAACATGTTCAATGATGAGCTTTTCGAGACACGGAAAAAGAAAAAAAAGGACAAGAATGTTTCTCTCTGTTCTTTTTTTTTTATCTTATCGGATGGACAGTATTTGTTAATGTCTTAACTTTTATTTCTTCTTTCGGATCGATCATGTTAAACAAATCTCGATTGTCTTCCTTTGTCCTCTCTATAATCATTTCGTCATAAACATTAAATTCTATTGCATAGTGTATGTATGTGCTCAAGAAAATCGCATTGATGAACGAATGTTTGCATAAATGAAAATATTTCACGGCCATTGTCATTCTCTTGTTCTCTTCTTATTCCCTATTTGAATTAAGACAACGACAATAATTTGTCAAAAAAAAAAGGAGACAAAGAGAAGTGAGTTAACTCATTTCTCTTTCAAGTTTAGTCTTATTTAATTTCTAGTAAGAAAAAAACAATAGAATAAAAGAAACGATTATGACAAGTTAAAATAACAATGGATACACGATCTCGGATGTATGATTTTATTTAATTACTAAATATTATATTTTAATTAATGTTTTTATTTTATTTTAGAAGTGGGCCTTATACTGAAGCAACAGCTGAATATATTCGAAATGGTGGTCGATATGCTTTGGCTACAGCTGTTCTTGATAGTATAGTGCTTGTATTTACTGTCGTCGTAGCTTTTCTTCTTCGGTAAGTCTAAGTAAAGAAATTTCATCATAAATAAATTAATTTAATTCTATAGAGCATCGGAAATATTTCCTGTTCGACAACAACGGTTTTTATGTGATGATGCTCGTTATTATCAATCTTACGAAGATGCTAATACAGAAAGAAATTATATTGTACTTTCCAATCTTACCCTTTATATTCTATGTTTATCCATTCCAATTATTATAGTAAGGATTGATAAAATATGAACGATCTTGTTCTATAAATTTCTTAAGATACAACTCAGAATCATATATATGTATTTTTATTCTATAGATTTCAATAATTGAACTTGTTCGTTCGTTTATTTCCTATAATTCTTATCGAACTCGTTTTTCTGTTCGATTTAAAGAATGTCTTGTTCGATCATTAGCTCGTATTCTTAAATATTCTTGTATGTATCAATATATCAATTGTTTATTTTATTTATTATGAATTATTAAATTTTTTTGAATAGCTGTGTTTATTTTTGGTGCATTATCAACAACTGTTCTTACTGATATTTTAAAAATAATGTCTGGCCGCTTAAGACCTTATTTTTTAACTTTATGTAATCCAGATCAAAAATCATGTAATGGAATGGGTATGTATAATAATTATTGATTGAACACATCTGAATGATATTTAAAAAGGTTTAACTGATGCTGAATTCGTATGTCTTTCTAAAAATATGACTGGACTGTTACGAGAAGCTCGGTAAGAAAAAAGAATTTTTTTTTTTAAATATTTACACTGTTTTGTTCTTTTTTGTTCTATGTTCGTTAATTTAGACTTTCATTTCCATCATTACATGCTTCATTGTCAATGTACAGCGCTGTATTTCTTGCTGTATGTTTTTCTTTTCAAAAAAAAAAACGATTTTTATTTGTAGTGTTCAATTTTTTTTTTCAATAGATTTATCTGCATCGAAGCATTCGGATTGAACGTGTTCGAATTGTTAAACCATTTCTTATTTTATCAATAATTACATTATCAATAGTAGCCGGTGGTGTACGATTAGCAAGCAATAAAAATCATTGGGAAGATGTAGCAGTTGGATTTGGTTTAGGAGCCCTAATTGCAATATATTTAGTAAGTCTAATGATAAAAAATAATTATTGAATAAGAGTTAAAAATTTGTTTTGCTTTATTTTCTTTTTTTACAAATAATAGATGAAAACTCTTCATTCATCAAAGTCATGTGTTGGATCACCAGTAGCACGAGTAGGTAATTATGATGATTATCAAAGTTATGTTGAAGATCATACTCAATATAATAAAGAAGTAAAGTTTTTCTTTTTTTTCGAAAATTTCTTAAACTAATATTCATATAGATGGATCCTACGTATGCACCTGGTATGGATGCTGTTTATCAAACAACTGGACAAAGTGTTAGTGGTCCTGAACAGTTTTCATTGCAACCGAGTGCATCTCAAGGTATAGAAATAATTACCTATTTATATTATATTTATTCTTTTTCAATTTATTCATAAATTCAGGCCATATTGCTGGTGGTTTTGCTCGTCATCGATATGATCTAAGAACTCAAATGCAACAGCAAGCAGCAGCTGCTCGTGCTGCTCAACAACAATCAACAGATAAAATGAGTACTTCAATAAGTCGTGGAGAAGTAGCAGGTGGTGTTGTACAACATCTTGTTCATCAAATTCAACATCAACCACAGACATCATCAAGTAGTCAACGTGCAAGTACATCAATGAGTGCACTAAGATAAAATACTTGTATGTTTTATTAGTACAAACATTAGCAATATTTTATTTGAACATTTTTTTCTGTACCATCCTATTTTTTTTTTTTTTTTTATTTTATTTCATTTTTTGTTTCTTTTTGCACTCAGGGCGCTTTCAAAATGCATCAGTAGATCTTTTCTTTATCGCTTTATTTCGTGTTTTGAAAAGGAAAATTAACTTTGAAAAAAAAAAAACATGGCATGCTCCATCAAATATTTATTGAATGTTTTCATCCAATTGACTGTCACTGTTAATATTTTTTGACTCTTCATTGTTGTCCTCATTTAATTGATCTAATACTTGTTCATTTTGAGAAGCTTGTTCTGTTTCACTTCTTTCATCAGTGTTATTTGAATCATTGCCATCATTATCATCATCGTCGATATCATCTGTTATTTGACGCTTCTTTCGAACTTGTTCCACAGGATCGTCCTGATCATCATTATTACCATTTCTTGTTTCATCCGATTCACTTTCTACTTCTACAGGTTGTGTATCAGTCTTTTCGTCTCCATCATCATTATTAACATTATTTGATTCATCCGATTCACTCTCGGTTTCTGAAGGTTGATTGTCAGTATTAGCATCATCTTCTATTTGACGCTTCTTTCGAACGTCTTCTACTGGATCGTCCTCGTCATCATTATTACCATTTTTTGATTCATTCGATTCACTTTCTACTTCTACAGGTTGAGTATCAGTTTTTTCGTTTCCATCATCATTGTTAACATTATTTGCTTCATCTGATTCACTTTCTGCTTCTGCTGGTTGAGTATCAGTATCTTCATCATCGTTGACATCATCTACTAAATAGCGTCGACGACTTGAAGATAAAAGTTCATCTATATCATGATCTATTTCCAACTGTATTTCATTGTTATTTTCTTCATCTGAAGATGATGAAATTGGTTTGCTTGATGCAATGTAAATGAATAAAAGCAGTAAGGTGATTTTTAAGTAAGCGCGCATGATGTTGTTGTTGTATGTTGTATGTAGAATTGGTTTTCTTCAAAAATGACGATGGATTGGGGGAGAAATTCTTTCTTTCTTTCTTTTCTTTTAGGTATTTTTTTTTTCTTTTATTGCGCATATGTGGCATCATAAAAACAACTAGTTATAGAGATTGGATGAATAGAAGAAAAATGTTAATCATGTCAAACGAAAAAAGTACTTACGGACTGCTCGAAAAATATAATGAATAGAATTCACAGAACAGCTAAATAAAAGTAAACATTCGTTATAACTAAAAAATATTATCAAAAGCTTTTTTTGATCAATAAGATACAATGCATTAGTAATCCGTTGTGTGTTATTTATCTTAGTAAATTGGAAAGAACGGAAGACTTTTTTCATACATGGATTATTTAACGAATGATGTGTATGACAAAATAATTTTTTATTGTATTCAAAAAGAAATATGATTCTATGGTATGACACGAATCAGCATATTTTCTAAAAATGAAAACAAACTTATGTTACAACATCATTGAATTGAGTGTGATATTTATTGTACGCAGTTTCAAGATACAGTCTTCGACTTTATGATTTTATACGTAAATTAACGGTAATTAATCTAAGAGAAAATTGAAAGAACGCTTATGATATTCGGAATCATCTATGCATAAATAAATGAGAGTAAACAATGAATAATAACAATGTTGTTAGATTTTGTAATGTGTCATTGTTTTCGCTTATTCATCAATAGATAAATATATGTCATGCAAATACAAAGCATCATCTTGTAAAGAATATTATTTTAATATTATTATTTCATTTCATACTATGACAATCGTAAATTTTCTATACCATCATTTAAATATATACTGGTTAATGAAAATGAGTTGCTTAGTTAAAGAATAAGACAATAAAGAAACGCAAAAATTCTATTTTTTATATGTGGCATAAAACTTCGCAGTTTGATTTTTTTTTTCTATTTGCACAAAACAAGTGAAATAAGTCGTAATAAAATTGATTTGTAAATCATTTGACAAATACAACCTATGAATTGAACGAGAAATTATACATCGATCGTTTATTTTTGGACCATACTCACAGAATGAATGCTCAACTACAAAATAAATAAGGAAAATATTTTAGATGAAAGTTTTTTGCGAAATTTAATTTTTTCGTTGTAAAAAAAAAAACAATTCGACAAAGTGAAATTTAATGAAATAATTCTAATTAATACTGACATTGTTAAGATTAAATTTTTCAATGATTTGTTTTAAATGTCATATAAAATATCTATTTCATATTTTCTAATGTGAAATCAATTTATATTTTGAGGCTGAAATTCATGGACAAATATTAACTTCGTAAGATGAAAGAGAGCTATTCTTTTACGTCGATCAATAAAATTGTGATTAAATTTCATAACAACATAAGTTCTCATTGTGTTCGTGAGATCAAGTATTCAAGGTATCAGTTCATAGTTTTAATATAATAATATTTCGTCTAATGAGTAATTTGGAAGATTTCATACCATTAAATATGAAAGGAAATAATTCTTTTAATTTTAACATTTCGAATATTTCTCAATTCGCTGAAATAGGATAAATGAATCATATTTTAATAAATCCTCTTTAATTTCTTCGAACTCAACGTTATCACCATTGACAGTATTCAATTATTTAAATGAGTAGTTATGTAAGCGCGTATGACTTTTATACAGACTGTGTCGTAATTTTATGTGTATATATAAAAATATGGATATTGAATATATTTTGACATGAAACACATTCATTAATTCTACACTCGACTACTTGCGACAAGTCAAATATTGAAAATAAGAAGAGCTTTCACAGAGTTTACCGTTTTTCTCTTTCTCAATTGTTAAACTATCGTTTTTGAAATCAAAACAGATCAATTGAGATCGTTAATCCAATATGAAAATAATTGTATATGAATATCGATTGATTTCCCGAAACCTAGAAGGCATCGCCGATAACAACTGTAAACAATATAATACAGTGAAAATCTGTTTCATTACGTCGTCGTAATCCATCATGCTAAGAAACGGTGGGTACAACGATTGCCAGCGTAAAAAATCAGATGCTGGATTAGGCAAAATATCATAAAATTTAATTTACTGATACGCTGTTTTATAATCACCCCTAACTTCTTAATACGTCGTTCTCGACTGTCGGAGTGATCATCCTAGTTGTTTAAATAGTGATGAACACTATCTAAAGTATCTCGAAGAAGATTCTTCTATGCAGATTTGAAAAATATCCATGTGAGTTATATTGGAATTCGATGTGTAAGTCAATCGATCGAACCGTCGCGACTGTAGTAGAAGAAGAGATACTATGGTTTTGAAAAATTTTGATAAACAACATCCGTTTTCATATATATTTCTATCTTGTTTCTTGTTGCTACGATCTCTATTATCACTTTTCTTTTTGTTTCATTTCAAAAGTTCTGGGAGTTAGAAAAATTTTTGAAAACATCATCGAAAAATTTCACTTGCAGTTGCTGTAAATTGATGCATCAGCTTTCACCTATAGTTAGAGATGTGTAGTTTCAGTGTAAATACTGAAAAAAAAACTGCCACTAATTTCACCAGCGAAGTGTTCATCGCACACGGACTACACCAATATCGGCGTCCCGTAGAACACTGATATATCGATGCTGATTTTCATAGACTACAATTTATATGTAGAATATTATGACATCTTTCGAATGGAAAATTGAAATTCACATTAAGTTTCTCTTGCATGAAAACACATCATCTGATTAAAGGCTTTTGAGTTCATACCCTGATCATAAGTAGGACTTGGTAAGACTAGAGGAATCCCAATAGGATTTTTTCCCATCAACCTATTTGGGTGGGATGCGGAAGTTCCAAGTTGAGAATCAGAAGCGTCGATAAACTGTTTCTTGTGCTTGAAGTACAATGTTGTAAGATTTCAAAAGAAAAATTTCTTATTGAAATATTTATAGATAAACCGTCAAGGTGTTGTAAAAATCATGTTATTCTGTTTATCTAATGAGCTAAGTTCTATAGAAAAGAAGCATCAAGTATCAATACTTCAATACAATAGAATTGTTTCAGATATGTGCTTCATAGGTCACCATATACATTCTTGAAATATTTGCCTCTGCTGTTTCGTTTACATGTCTTCTCGTTCGTGCTTTATCTTTCATTTTCATCTGCCTGATGTATCTTTTTTGGTTTCATTTGGAGTCACAACTCATGCTAGAACGAGTATCAAGAAAAGAATATAGAGAATTTTCCATAGAAATGTTACAATATAATAATTCAAGCAGTAGATATAGTTTATCTACGCTTCTGGTTCTAAGCTTGAAATGTTCGTAACTCGATCAAAGAGACTCATATAGGGGTAAATTCTTTTAGGGCTTCTCAAGCCTCATTAAGTCCTACTTATGGTGAGAATATGAGCTCAAAAGCTTTTAATCAGCTGATGGAGTTTTTCTCGTCAGTAGTTCCTCATTTTTTTTCTGTCTTATATTTCATGCAACGTGATATTCCGTCAGCGAGTAAGCGAGTCATTCTTTCACTATCCCATATAATATACGTTGTGTTGTGCCTAATGTTTTCTATAGATTGTTATTTAAAAACAAATGGACTTGTCCAATAAATATTAAAACGATGAAATAATACTAATAGCATTACGGACTGAATCATTTTTCTACTATGGTACTTTCATTTTGAAAAACAAAAGAAAAGTATCAAAGCAAGCAATTAGTTCGACTTGGAAATCTTCATTCAGGGTTCTCATATTACAAAGGTATTCATTCAAACCCACACAGACAAGAAGTTCTACTACTTTCATCATAAAAAGTTCGTGATGTCACTTAAGAAAGCAACTTTTGCATAAAAAAAAAACGCCCAAAAAATTTTCTCACAAAACTTATGACATATGTCTAACATAAAAAAATCATTTTTATCTGCAAAGTATGTTAAAATGTTGCAGAAACAAATTATTTTTGTATGAGTTGGCGTTAAAACATTCAAACGAGAACTGCGATTAGAGTATTTAAACGCGCTTTCAGAAATTCTAGTCTGCTTGAGAATCTTTCATTTCGACAGAAGAAACATATCAATTGATATGGTATTACAGCATTTTCCCTGATCGAATAAAAAAAGACAGGTTCGATATTTTTTCTACTTTCTATTAAACAATTAACATCGTATAGTCAACGTATACGATTCTTGTCAATTGAAAAAGCTTGACTTTAATTGAAAATTTGGAATGTCAAAAAAAAACAAAAGGTATGAGAAAGTGTTTGATTATTGTTACTAAATAATGACTTCGAAAAGATGAGAGATATATCGTTTGATCTTAGTATTGTATGAAAATAAAGACGGACAACGATATGATGACGATGTAAGACTTACGACGCAACTCCTAATGAGTACAAGTTAATACATATTGTTGACGATGAAAAAGGCAAGATGGATAAAAAAAAAAAGAAGTGTGCGTGCTTGTCACTCAAGATAAATATTGTCACTTTTGTTATCTAAATAAAGAAGAAATAAGCTCAAACATCGTTATTTTACTTTTTCAATATTGATCAATGTTGAGTGATGAGACTTTGAGATTGACTTGTTTTACAATATTTTCTTCTATTCAATCGATTTTCTTTTTAGTTTCAAGTAAGTTAAAAGAAAAAAAAAAGATAATAAAACATCTCTTTATTTTTCTATATATGAATAACAAAGATATTAGAAGAATATATGAATGAATAGATTTATTGTTTTCTTTATGGTTTTTCTTTATTATGATATAGAATAGTATTGTGTTTATAGATTAGTAAAATATTTTCATTTGTTTTATTTTTCTTTTTATATATATATAACAATAATAAATGATGATCATTATAATATCTATATTATTTGTTATTATAATAAAAAATTCATATTCAAATCCAATAATAAAAACTTATCCAGTAGTTGATTTATTAGAAAATATTCCATTAAATACATTTGTTATAGAACTAACAAATTCATCAAATAAATTAATTTTAATAAATTTAAATGAATTTGAAACAAAATTATTTTCAATTATAAATGGAAATATATATACAAAAGATTTAATTGATCGTGAAGAATTTATTGATAAAAAATATTGTTTAGATAAATTTTATTGTAAAATTGAATTACAAATACTTGTTGATGATGGTTTAGCTTATTGGATTATTCCAATACATATTATTGAGTAAGTTATTATTGTTATAAACAAAAAAAAAAAGAAAAGAAAAGAAAAATATTAATTCAAAGTTTAATTTAAGTGAAAATGATAATAAACCAGAATTTGCTAAAAATGAAATTGAATTAAAATTTGTTGAAAATGTATCAAATGGATATAAAATATATTTTGAAGGTGCAAAAGATATTGATGAAGGTAAAAATAGTGAAATTCGTTATATACTTGATTGTTCAAATAGTTTAAATAATAATAATAATAATGAAATATTATATTTAAATCAATCATCAATAAATTGTTATCCATTATTTGAATTAATTTTAATATCAAAATCATCATTAATTTCATTATCAAATAATTTTGATAAATTAGCATTAAAATTTAATCCATCATTATCAAAAAAAAATATTGAAAATGAATATAAATTTATAATTTATGCTATTGATAATAATCAATATGGAAAAGAATTAATAAATTCAATGAATTTATTTATTAAAATAGAAGAAAAAGATAAAAATTTTATAAAATTTCTTTTATCTGAATATGAATTTATTGTTTTATTAAATGAAACATTAAATAAAAATGAAAATTTAATAGGTAAAATTCATGCTATATCAAATAATCCATCAGATTTAATTTATTATAAAATTTTATCAAATAATAATAAAACAAATCTAATTAAAATAAATTCATTAACTGGTCAATTAAATTTTATTAATGAAAATAATATAAAATATATAAATAATGATATTGAATTTATTGTTGAAGCTTATTTATTATTAAAAGATAAAAATTTTAAAAAACTTAAAACTCAAATAAAAGTTAAAATTTATTTTCGTTATTTACATTTATTAAAAAATATTTCATTTGAATTTGAAAATATTTTATTTAATAATCAAAATGATATTTATCAATTAAATAATAATTCAAATTATTTTTTTATTAATAAAAATATTAAAATAAATGAAAAATTATTAAAAATTTCTCTTATTTCATATTATTATCCAAATGATAAATTTATATTTTCACTTGAAAATTATTTTAATACATTTTCACTTATTCCTTTTTCTTCTTCTTTAATAAATACTTATATTATTAAATTAAATCAACAACTTATATCAAATTATACTTATTTATTAAATATTCAAATTAAACATAAATTATCTCAACAATATTTACCTAATTTACTTGTTCAATTCATTGTTTTTGATCAATTAACAACAACAACAACAACAACAACAATAATAGATAATATAACTTTTATTAATGATATTCAAATAACAACTGATTTAATAACATCAACTTCAATTTCTCATCAATTTATTGATAAATCATTAGAATTTTGTTTAGAAAATAAAACTTATATTCTTAATGATATTATAAATGAAAATAATGAAATTGCTTTTTTAAAAGTACTTCAATCAAATTTCTATATAGATAATAATAATAATTTAACTATTATTTTAACAAATTTTTTAAATAATAATCAAAGTGAAATAATAATAAATGAATGTCGAATGTCTATTAGTAAATTAAATAATCAATTTAATAAATCTTTACAATATCAATTATGTTCATTTATTGACAATAATAATAAACAATGTTTTAATTTAACATTTATTATTGATGAAATAAATTCAATATTATTTTCAATTGATAATCATATTGAAAAATGGATTTTACCAATAAAACCAATTGAAAAAATAATGTTTTTTATTTCAATTATATTTCTTATTGGAACAATTATTCTTATTTTACTTATTTGTCGATTAAAAGATTTTCATATTTGTTCAAAAATCAAAAATTATTTTTTCTATGGAAAAAAATATGGTGTAAACAATTCTCAAAATTTATCCTTTTCTTTTTCTTCACCATCACATCCACCACTACCATCATCATTATCATCAGCATCACCATCATTAGTAACAACAAAAATTCCAGTTTGTTATTTATTTCAGTTCTATTTCTTTATTTTATTTTATTTTATTTTTTTGTTTTCATTATTTTATTTTAGCAAAGGGCTCATTCAATTATCGATCGAGAATCTTGTTTATCTTCATTTCAACCAATTCCAATAAGTGAGTCATTTGATTAGATGATGAATTTTTGTACATCACATATTTATATATATGATAGAAAATGATGATAATGAACCATATTTATTTAATATTGATCATTTTCTTCAACGAGAACCACTTCCAAAAACAAATACATTCACTCTTCCACCAACTGAACAAATATCCTCCTCCTCCTCCTCCTCCTCCTCATCATCATCATCTTCATCTTCATCATCTTCACTTCAACAACAAGAAAAAATAATATTAAATGTTGAAAATCGATTAACAACACCTCGAATATCATCATCATCATCATTTCTTCAAGAGACAAAACAATTATTAGAAATGATATCATCAAATCAAAATTTTGATTTATCAAGATTAACTTCTGAAGTATAATGTGTTTGTTTTCATGTTTTTCCTTCATTGGAATCATTTACTATTTGCTTTTGTTGACCAAATTTATCAAATATAAATATTAGATAGAATGTGTCTTGTAGAAACATTTCTACATCAAAAGAAAAGTAATGATATGAATGAAAATCTATAAATATTATTTTCATCCTATGAGACATGTATTTATTAAGTATCAATATATCTTTCAATGGCTAATACAATAAGATTTCGTATAAAACCAAGCATAAATCCAAGTGGAAAATGTTTTACATATGGTTCAATTATTTTCCATTTTTTAATCCAATCCTTTTTCTTTTTAGCTAATGCTTTCTCTTTAAGTGCGTCTTTGTATAGTACAATAATAAGGTATGAAATAGTTCCTATTGTTAAAACAGTAAGAATGATGACAAATAATAGACGAAACCAATTTCGATGACACCATGTGGATTTTGATTGATCTTCAAATTCGTCTGAATCGATTGAATGTTTAAGACGGTAACTATTTGTACTCATGTCAGTATTATATGAAATATAATCAATATAAATGGTATAAAAATCAACGAAAGAGAAATATAAAGTAGGGTAAATATAAACTAACTTATAAATTTGATGTCGCCCGCGATTTCTTTCTAAACTATAAAATATGATTCAAAAAATCATTTCATTTTAATAATATTCACTATTTGAAACGATCACAATAATAGAATTCATTCATATGAACAAGTAATCTTCTGTAATTGATATCTATTTTACAGGACAAATAGTTTACACACAATTCTCCATATTAACATCCATTCTCGTTCACTTTCATCATTATTCATTCACAGCTACGAACGATGATAGTATTTTTTATCTGATTTATTTTCAATGATAATATAATGTCAACTAAGAACAAAAATAATATAAGATAATCTTACTTCCCAAAATAAATCTAAAGAAATTTGTTCGTTTGTTTTTTTTTACAGGATTTTTTTAACAAGAGGCAGACATTTGATAAAGTATGTTTAGTTTTTCTTTACTCATTCAATATCATTTGTATTATATTAGGCACTGACACTCTTAATATTGTCAATGTTGTACCTTTATTTACTTTTTAATCATTTGACAACAATATCGACTTGTGGAATTATATCTAAAAGTTTTTTTACAAGATTATATTTATGTTTAAGTTCATTTTGAAAACGTTGACGTTGTCGATCACATTATGCTTATTTATCATACAACATATAATAGTATCAGTAATGTGATGCAAATAATAAATGAAAATAATGTCGTAATTATATAAAACCAGTATCAATCTCAAAACGATCGCTGATGATTATAATGCATCTTTCTTCTATTATGATCATTGTACAAAGTTACTATCGAAATAATACTTGATTTTATTGTTACAATTGTTCTTTGTAAGTTAATATAACTAAGAATATGAAATAACAATTATATGTCATAAAAAAAGTGAAGAAAAGATCAGTAGTCGTCAATATTTTCATTGTTACTGTCATATGTTTCTTCATCACCATATGCTTGGTCGTTATAGGATGTTTCCGCAGTGCCTGATGAACTACTCCAGATATTCGTAAATGCATTGAAAAATCCTTGTTCAGAATTTGTTGAACTAGGATGTTGTCCATTTTTTGGTCCTTTTACTTTTCGAAGTTTTAGCAAGTCGTATGGTCCAAATATGAAAAACACCATAACAATCACTATAAATATCGCAGAAAGAGCTAAGATACAAACACAAACTTGAGTTCCATGACGAGTACAACAGCTGTCTCTGCTATCATCAGCGTAGTTCTCCATTTCATAAATGTCATTATATCCTAATGAATCACCTGCTATTATACTTGTATCGCTCATGTTGAAAATATGAATCCAATAATAGATTTAACAGAACCAAAGAGTAAATTTCAAAATATTAAACAGAAGAGAATGAAAATAACAAAGTCAATTAAGCCGCCAATTTTGAATGCAAAACAACTGAATAACTACTGATGAGTTTGCTTAGTATTGAAGAAAGATTAAGTAAATACTAGATTAAGAATTCTGGATGTGACTGATGATAGTCCATCACATTTTTCGAATATGATTTGAAAACCATAATATTTTTTTTTTCTTTCTGAAATCTATATTTATTCTTTATATGTGGACATATTTCAATTGTGATCGTCTATTTTATTTTCAAATGTAAAATTTAAAACTCATTGTCATAAATCAATAAATAAGTATCATCTACTCAAAATCGTAATGATCATTCAAATAATTTTTACACAGCAACACTTCACGTAGAATGTAATAGTAAGAAAGATATATTTCATACAATTTTAATATAGGAAAATTCTTGAGTCCTGTAAAACAAATATTTTAGAGTTTTAAATACCGAATATTTCGCAGGACTCTAGAAAATTCCTGTATTAAATAACATTATATTTATTTTTAATTTATCATAGTTATCATTTTTCTCATATTTTTATAGTTTGAATTTTCTCAGTTGAATAGCAATTTTTGTTTCTCTTGATTAGAATTCGCAATTTTTATTTACAACAAGCACGTACTAAACTGATAAATAAATCACATGTAATTAACTTTCATCTCGAGAACCTTTTTTATGATCACCTTTATCATTTGAACCTCGCAATTGTCTATTCGATGCTGTTTTTCGTTTTTTAAATACGATTGGTTCGTTTGTTTTTGATGATGAATTCGACGGTATTGCAGTAATTTCTCGTTCTTTAAAAGTTAACTTAACGTGATAATCATCCTTTGTTTCTGATATTACTGGTACAAGTTGATTTTCAGGTAGATGCCAATTATCTGCTGGTAAATCCAGTTGCTCACCAAATGTTTTACTGAAGATAAAAATACATGAATAATAAATAAATGAAAGACCGTAAAACTAACCGTTTTAATGAATCTGCTTTGACAACAGGTTTCCAATCACCATACGGATGTTTATATTTATTTTTGCCTTTAAAAAAAGCATCAACTTCAGGTGGTAATTCTGGTTCTTTTACAGTTGTTGTTTCTTTATCTTCTTCTTTCTTTTCCTCTTCTTTCGTTTCTTCTTTCTTTTCTTCTTCAGATTTATGAGACATGTTCAACTAAAGTTTTATTTAATCTAAAATAATAAAAAAATGGAATGAATATTTAGCTAGATAAGTTAAAGATTTTTCTAATTGTATCATTCATTAATAAAGCAAATTGTTCATGAGCTTTTTTATCAAGATGAAGTCCATCAACTGGACTGAATTGAACATGAGGTGCTGCATCAACAAAATAGACATTTTTGTCATATGTATTAACAAGATTTTTTAAATCATGAGCCAAATTTTGTGCTCGTTCTTGAGCACCTTCAAACATATCCGTACAACTTGTCTGGATTGGTATTGGTGTACTGACAATAAGTATTTGTGGTGATTCTTGCATATTAGGACCATAATATTTTGAACGAACAATTTCAATAAGTTCTTTAATACCTTCAGTAATTTGTTGACTTGTTCGATTATTAAATTGCTTTTTTAAATCATTTAATCCAAGCATAATAACAACCAAATCAAGTGGTGCATGAGAATAAAGAATAGTTGAGAAATATTCAGTACCACGATATCCACGTGGTTTATCTTCATAATCTAAATTTGTTGTTCGAGAATTAAGACCTTCTTCAATTACATAAAAATGTGCTAGATCAAGTAATTGTTGTAAACGACCTGTCCAACGTGTATTTCGATCATAACGTTCATGAGTACTATATGCACCAGGTACAAAACCCCATGTATTCGAATCTCCATAGCATAAAATTGATCTCATTTTTATTCGTTCTGAAACATGAAAAAAAAATAGATGCACGATTGAAGAAAACGTATGTTTTCTGAAACTTCTTTATTTTTTGTTACTTTAAGCTAAAAGAAAAAAAAACTAATAAAAAATTTCTTATTCTAAGAATTTGCTTCTCTTGTTAAATTCGACTATAATTCTTTTCCATGTCGTTTTTTCTTTACAATATAATTTTGTAAATAGAAATTTGAAAAAAGCATAAGAATTGTTATTCCATAAATTAAAAATGATACATCAAATATTTTTGGAAAATTACATTGTCGTTGTAAATTAATGACAGAATGGATAATTACAGCAACAAATTGAAACTATTCAAAATTAAATATATAATTATAGATCGATTTTTTAAAATTATTTGACATACTATTTGAGCTTGTGTTATATAACGTTTCCACCATAAAAATTTTTGAACTTGAGGCCCGCAAGCACTTAATCCATAATAACCATACATAAGAACATGAATGAACGAGTTGATAATTATCACAAAGAGAGCTAAAAGTAAAATGAAAACAAAAATCGTATTTGTGACATTCTCTTTTGCTATACTGTTTCTTCGACATAGAAATTGTTAGGAATGTTTTCAAAACTTCCAGATAAATAGAAATAAGTTAGTAAAACAGATATCATGTTATAATCATTCTTATAAGTTTTGATTCTATTAACATAGATATTTGTAAATACTTTACTAGAGTCAAAAATTTATGTATGGTTCAAATTTGATCTATTTTTATATTAAAATACAAGTAAATTTTTGTTCAATGTTATATTTAATTATAATTCAGAATGAAAATTTTCAAAAAGCTTACATTGACCACCACCCACATATTTAGAACCGCTCCATCCACAAAATGTCATTGTAATATGATGATAAACATGTAAAAATGTTATTTGATTATCTTTTTTTCGTAGTACAAAAAGAACCTAATTATAAAAACAATGTTAAATTGGTTTATTTTTATTCTTTGTTATAAACTTCTTTTACTCACTGTATCGATAAGATCGACTAATTTCATAATATAAAACCACCAACATGCTTTACATGCCTAAAAGAAATAGAAGAAAAGATATTAAAAATTTAGGTTTTTTTAATAAATAATCTTGAAAAATTTAAATCAAGTTGTTCATTATTACCATTCATAAATACAAGATATGACACATGCACTACATCACTCGGCTCATATATTATAAGATAAATTAAATTACCGATTTTTATTAATTCAATTATGATTAATAATTTAACTTGAATTATGAATCAAGTTTCAAAATGAATCTTTGTCAAAATTAGTTATTATGATATTTCGTCATGTATTGATATATTAATTAGTTTTTGTTAAAGACATCAATATATATGTTATTTGAATTAAAAAACTGATCAAAGAAAAAAAGATAAGTATATTCATCTTTCAAAAAAAGATGACTTTTTATTTATGTTATGCATTGTTTATTTTTTGACGAGATACATGAGCTCAGATCCTCAACTAATTCTGTCCAGATATTGCAAATTTACGGTAGTTTTCAAATAAATATTATAGAACTCCTAAGAACGCTGAGGAAAATTGATTTTCAAATTTCGACTTGAAACTTTGCAAACAGATAGTCCTCAACGAGAATAGTTTCTTTGTTAATGTTTCGGATCTTGCTGTTTTTCATATCTTAAGAGACAGCTATTATAACAGTATGTC